AAAATAAAAGAAAAAAAAAACAGACAAAATAAAACCGTAAATGTTTTTGGAAAATATATGAACTTTTTTAACATGTGTAATAATGAAGAAACGTGACTTGTGCAACATAATGATCAGTAAATTATAAACAAAGCAATGGGATATTTAAACAAACGATCAAAAATAGAAAATGAAATAAGGGCATATGTTAAACACCATACATGAAATTCAAACCGCACAATACAGAATCACGCACATACATACCAACATATCACAAACAGCACATATCACAACACACAATACATACATCTCCACAACACACTACATAGCTCACAAACACACATACTACATTTCACAAACCAGACATACACTCACAAACACACACATACATACACTCACAAACCGGCATACGCCATACATACACCTGCCATAAACACATGACATTACTACAATCACAAACACAGCACATATACACTCACCAGACCACATAAGCATAAACTCCACAACAACACGCATACTACACTCGGACAAAACACATATACAATACAACTCAAGAAGACACAATTATGAATACATACACTCACAACAACACATTAATGGCACTCAAAACCACGCACATACAAGCATACACACTCACTAAAACACAATATATACTCACAAACACAGCACATACAAATACACTCACATGTATTTGATGACGTTCGCGGATAGAGAGGATACAGTAGACGAAGATCACATATACAATACACTATGTCACAACACACGCACATACTTACAACTACTAAAACTAATACATACCATACAAAGCTCTGGCCAGCCTAGATGAGGGAATGGGTAGGTGGAGAGGGGTGTTGGATTGTAAGAATAACACAATATAACTTCCACAACCACATACACCTCACAAAACAAATACATCATAGCACTCACAGAGCACACTCATACAATACCTCACAAAACACGCACATACATACACTCACAACTATACAATACATACCTTCAACAGGACAGCACATACATACACTCACAAACACACAAATTACATATCACTCACAAACAAATACATACATACACTCAACTAGACTTTCATACATACACTCAACAAAACACCGGCACATGCATACACTCACAACAAATACATACATACACTCACAAGACACATTACATACATCCACTGACGGGGACAAACACAGACAAATTACATTACACTTACGAAAAAACACAACATGGGCATGCACTCCACAAACACACTACATAACTCAACAAACACAGCACATACATCACATCAACACCATACATACACATCACAAACACACACAATACATACTCAAACACACACATACAATAACTACAAAACACAATTACACATAGGACACTGTATAAAATGTTACTTCACAAACAAGGTGGCTCACATACAACATAACTCACAAACACACACATACATACACTCACAAACACAAAAACCTTGACAGACAGAAAGGAATCGACCAGACACAATGCGAAGGGGCAAAGACAGCACACACAACACAAGGTCCACATCTTCACACACCACACACACCACAGACCAACACACTAACACACACCACACACAACAGATCACACCCACACACCACACACACAGCACACACACAACAACAAGCACACCAACAAAACACAACAGAAACGCATTTGCACGTAGACTTCTGTGCTCAGATATGGAATATGAAAGTTCTTTCCTGATGCGGAAAATGGACATTGAAATTATTTCAGGGAAGCGATAGATATGATGGAGGATAAAGATAATCATATATATATATAATACAGGATTAGCTATAATGTATTATAATATATTAATAGAGAGAGAGAGAGAGGAGACGAGAGCGAGGAGAGAGAGAGGAAGAGAGAGAGAGAGAGAGAGAGCAGAGAGAGAGAGAGGAGTGGAGAGGGAGCAAGAGGGAGAGGAGGCGGAGAGAGGGAGAGGAGGAGCGGAGAGAGAGAGGAGGAAGAGAGAGAGAGAGAGAGAACGAAGGAGAGAGAGAGAGGAGGGGGGAGGGAAGGAGGCAACTTGGGGAGGGGCGGGAGGGAGAGGAGGAGGGAGAGGAAAGGAGAGGCGGAGAGAAAGGAGAGAAGGGAACAGGTAGAGAAGAGAGAAGATGGAGATGAGAGAGAGAGAAAGAGAGAGAGAGGAGAGGAGGGAAGAGAGGGAGAGAGGGAAGGAGGGAGGAGGGGATGAAGAAGAAAATTGGAAAAAAGAAAGGGAGGGGGGGTGGAGGGGGGATGGAGGGGGAGGGGGAGGAGAGAGGGAGGAGGGATGAGGGACAGAGGGGAGCAGGCAGAGAGATGGAGAGGGAAGAGGAGGAAGAGGGAAGATGGGAGAGAGAGAGAGTAGACGGAGGAAGAAGAGAGGAGAGCGAGGAAGATAGAAGGCGAACGCAGAGTAGAGAGAAAAGAGAGAGAGACGAGAGAGCAGAGAGGGAGATTTTAGAGGAGAGAGGGGGGAGGGGGGGGGAGAAGAGGATGGGAGAAGAGAGAGAGATAGAACAGA